CCTGACCTAAGCTAGCCCAACGCCAGTATTGCGTGCGGGTAAGTTTATGAAACCATAATAGGGTAGAACAGACCAGAATGGACCAGAACCATTTGCCTGCCATGTCGACCAATCCACAAACAGTGTGGAAAAGTGACCAATGTGTGACCAATTTAAGAATTCAGCGTTAGGTACCAATGTGAACAATCACAAATCACGGGATTCCACCTCAGGCTGATCCCTATATGGGAGCTACTCGAGCCGAAAGCGGGCGTATCGCTGTGCGGCATTACGGAACAGGACATACGCCCAGGTCACTTCCGAACCAAGGCTCTAGAACTCATTGGCTCATGTTCAGAGCATCAGACTACTGACACGAATGGTTCTAAAGTCTGCTGTCTGGTCGGCATTTTTATATGACACCGCAGTTGAGATCTCATTACCAACACGCGCTTCGGTGTACACAACGAAACTGGCTGCTGCCATCAAGGCGCCCTCCTCTATTGAGGTCGGTGACAAGGCACAACACTTAATTTCATTTGACTTTAAAAGCTGTTGGGTGCTCTAGAGGTTTTATTGGCAGTGTCTCCTTACAGGATATTCTAATGCGCCTTATTGACCTTGATGGAAAAACGACTGTGCTCTCTGGATCCCCAGTCACGCGAGTATTAAAGACAACGAGCTTGCCGAGGAGGCGGCGAAACGGGTGGTACACGCAACATGAAGACGATCTCTACCTCTGTCGAAAATAAATTTGTACCCACTCAAAACGGCTTACGTTAAAAGCAAATGGCAGCTTTGATGGAATGTCGAGGGAAATAACAGCATGACAGATGCATGACACGGTGCGGGCGCAGAGTGACTGCTGAAGTCGACGCGCACCCGAAACCCAGTTATCATCGACCACTAACAAACGGTATATTTGGGATGCACGTATCCATATCCACTTGGAGTGCGGCATGCCAGGCTTGTCTGCATGCCCTGACTGGACATAGTTGTACCGTTGTATGTTTCAAGAGACCGTATGGTAGATTTCATCTCTTCATTGGTGCACAGACTAACAGTACGTACAAATAAGTAGCGTATATATATATATATATATATATATATATATACATACATATATATATATATATATATGTATATATATACATATATATATATATATATATATATATATATATATATATATACATCTCTGCGCCAGCGTAGCCATGTGAAAGCCTGGCCAAAAATGTGGAAACACAAAAACAGGTCGGTAGAAAAAACACAAACAAGCTGTCACACAATAAGTAGACACAATTCCTGTACACGAGCAAGTACCGCTAACGTCTCGCGCCACAGAACAGGTTATGTACGCAACTCTAACAGCTGAGGGCCTTTCAGCCGTCAAACCAGGAGCGCTAAAAACAGCACACAGGAAGGTAAAAGGGGCGAAAGCTCTGGAGCATTTTGGCGAAACGCAAAGTTTATTTTCACCATCTTCCTTCTCATTTGTGGTTGGAAAACTGTTACCACGGTATTTAAGATCTACTCCGGTGCATTATTAATTCCTTTGTGCAGGTTCTGTGATTGCTGCTCTCTGAGCAGCATCACTGGTGTTAGCCAAGCAATGCTATGTATGAGATGATACCTGCATGCCATTTTATGAACACCTTAGTGTATAGGTATAAATATAAGGTAAAATAATAACATGCATATTGCAATAAATTAGTTTCTCCGGATTAATGGGGGATCAGCATTGTAGCATAGGTTTTTCTTTGCGGGCTGGGTCACTAGCTAGGCAGAGCGGGCTTGAGTGCGGGCTGATATTTTGGAAAAAGTTGCGTCTCTAATTCCCACACACCGCGGTCACAAATCGTGGCTACTACTGCCCGCGCGAACATCGCACGCGGCGCTGCGGCTTCGGGCGCCCAGCGTCCTGGTCTGAGGTACCTGACGCTCCAGCTCCTCCAGACACCGCAGCACCTGCTCCATGACTGTGCCTTCAGTGACACTCCCCTGGCGCTCAGAAGAATCCTGAATGCCCTCACTCCGAGTGATATTTCTGACTTTGTCCACAGCCAAACATGAAGACGAGCTGAACCTCAGAAGACAGCCGCCTCCCGCCATCCGTTGCCAATCGCCAATATGAAACTCGAACCACCTCGGATCTTTATTATTTCTAATTTGTTTAGTTACCAACCTTGGCTTTTCTTGTTATTAGCACGGCAGCAGTTAGCACATACTAAAGACACGACAGAGATTTCATTTTTCGGCACCCTTGCGGGAGTCTTGACCACGCGCTTCATGTCAGACATCCCAGGTGGCACCACTGGCGCGCACCCGGGGCTATCCACCGGGCCCGCTCTGGCGTGCCCGGTGAATCAGAGGACTGCTCCAGTGACATGAAGTGAGGCTGTGCCCTCGGGACATGCACCAGACAGAAGAATGCCTAAGAACGCCCTCTCTCAATGCCGCGGTGCTGGTCGGAACAGCATAGTTTTCATGACAAAGCGAGCACTCACCAGTTGCTGTCATCTCCTGGATAGAAGCCGGTCGAGGTTAATCCAGCCGCGTGTCACTACTGAACCAAAGAACTCCAACGAAACAGTGACGCCCGACTTTGCCAATCGCCCAATCGACTATTCCACCGGGGTGGTCCAGCCACCTTGGATCCGACTGCTCCACCGGGGTGGTCCAGCCACCTTGGGTCCGACTGCTCTACTGGGGTGGTCCAGCCACGTGGGATCCGACTGCTCCACTGGGGTGGTCCAGCCACCTTGGATCCGACTGCTCCACTGGGGTGGTCCAGCCACGTTGGATCCGACTGCTCCACTGGGGTGATCCAGCCACCTTGGATCGGTGCCATATCAGTGAAGCATTACAGAAGGACGCCGTGGCTTACACTATCGAAGGCACGAATCAGGTCATTCGAGGTGACGGCGGCGCAATGCATGGTGCATTCCATTTTGAAGGTAGCAAGGGTAGTAGTGCGATAAAAGTACGCTGTTTTCTGGTTATGGGTGGTGTTACGGGCTGTGCAGGAGCCGTCTTATGTTGGCAGCTTTATCTTGATCGGCGGGGTAAGAATTTCAGTGAACTTCCGATATGAACCACGCGTCTTGCGTCACGCGTCGGGCGGCGCATCACTGACAGGCGTGTGCATGACAGCAGATGGTGATTGGTGATTTAGGAGAGGCGGAGAGCAGCCTCTCAGTGTTGGGCCAGCCGAGTGGCGCCGACCGTGACGAGTGCACGACGGTCTCGTTCGTGCGCGAGATTCTGCACGAGAGAGACGCATGTTAACTCTTGTTAGCAGTGGTCGTCCTGAGGCGGCCACACTCCATGAAAATGCACCAATGAAGGCCGCGATACATTATTGAATGCATACGAAAATCGCAGCCGAGAACTTTCACGCTAATGTGGCTTTATGCGCTGTCACCGACGAAATTGCACTAAAAAGCCTAATAACATTAGCGGTCATAGCTATCATAACTGTTGTTGCCCAGCAAATAAGGTGAAGCGAGCCGGTCTCTGCCTTATAAATTAAAGAAAGCGCGTCGCATCCGGCCAGTGCGCGAAAATAATGCACTGACAAAACATATTTTTCAAAAGAGAACCACTCTTCCCTGCGATGCTGCCCAATGCGTACCAGCAAGCATATGTAGTTGACTAACACGCGTTTGGGTAGAGCAGGTCAAGTTTACCCCAATCCGAAGGTTTTCCAGAAAGATTTCCGAACGGTTAACTCTGCACGACTGTAGGCACTGAACAACGAATCTTCTGGTTTACAAAATTAGGTATACCTTTTAAGGCTGCTGACCTATTGCAAGTCAAAGTCAGAACATGGCTGTCAGCGAATGCATCTAGGGAATCTTTAATTCCGACTCGACGGCAGAGTGTTAGATGAAGCCATGCATCTCTGAGATAGTTGTTTGGGCAATACAAAATTCAATTTAGAATCACAACAAATTTCGTTGATTTTAGGTCAGGTATGTAGGTCATCCCTAAGTCAAAACTAAGCTGCTTTTTCCTCTAAAACTACTGCAAAGGGTAGTTTCTGGTGGTCATTTAGAATATATTAATAACAGGGATCACAACAGACATGTTTCATAACCTTCTTAAGTCAAAGTAGGTCGCTAACCTAAACGATCCAGGCCAGCATTTTGCTTTTTTTTAGAAACATACCGCCTAGCGTTATTTCCGTTGTTTATTCAAATGAAAAATATAAATAATCTTATAGGTTTTGAATCGCCTTAACCTTCAACAGATAAAAAGGCTACTGAACTTAAATGAAGGTAGTGAGTTTTTGCCTGGAATAATTGTCTGGGTTCAAAGCGGCTGCATGGGAGGTCCAGGAGCATTTTGGACACCAACCTGGAGTGTGACCTCATTTGACCTTATTTAACCCCAATGACACGTCTTAGCAGATAACATTTTGAGACAAGTTAGTCCGCATACAGTGTAACCCATCCTGTGAATAAGGTCCATCTAGCTCTCCTAGTTTTTGACATCTTAGGGGTCAACCTGACCCTCCAATAGAGCGAGAGACACTTAACCGGCTACCCGGGTGCATGTTAAAACCAGAAACGGACAGAGCTGTGTTCAAAACCAAACCAGAAGCAGCCCTCTTTCACCGAAGTGAGGACATTCGAAACTTATCACGTTTTTGACAACTGAACCAGATTATGGGCGTGAGCACGTGCACGTGCGTTTAGAGTAGGCGAGCCAACTCATAATTTTAGGGAAGAGTTTTGATGGATATTAGATATTACGAATTACCATGGAGCTTTTCGTCGCACCATTTTCACAGCACGTGTAACACATTTGTGTTGTGCATTGTAAAGTTAAGTCATATTAGAAAGCAACACTTATTATGGCCGGGCTGAATTGCCACAAAACAATGACAAAAAACGCAGCCTAACACAAAAATCGACACTTTGTTACGCATTCAGACCAACAAGCCGAGCTCGGGCATTTTGAGTAGGGCTAACCCAGCCCAGCAACGTAGGCGTGTTGTTAAAATTCAACTTCGTTTGTCACAATTTCCCGTCCACCTGTTGCACACAGCACAGCGCAAACACATCCTAGCACTACCACACCGCATCAAATGCCGCGTGACCCTCGAAAGCCTTTAATCACTTCCATAATATGCCCAGTAGACCACATTGAAGGTAGCAAACAAGCAGGCGTAACAGCGAATGGACCACTTCTCAATGTTCCTGGCTAGTCTCTGGCTGTCCCAGGAGCAGGGCCTGACGCTCTGGCCCAGCGGCTGGACCTTGACCCCCCTGACACCGGTGGTGCTGGCACGGGCGGGCGCGGACGGAACTGCGAAACTCTCTTTCAGCTTCTCCTCCTGGCTCAGCCCCAGTCTGCGGTCAAGGGCATAACTCAGGCCCATTGGTGACACACTGCAAATGGGAGTCTAACCAGGGAAGCTTACAGGTGATGAACAGTATATCTGGATATGTCTACCCTAGTGGCCCTCAAGCAGTGGATCGCCATCCAGGCTCGGGTCGTTTGGCGTCTTTAGTGCGGCCGCGCGGGATTTAAACACATTACAGGAACAGCCATGGCAAAATGGTGTGTGCTATTGGCCTTTACAATGAAGTTTCCTGCTTCGCAACTTACCTGGAAGGGTGTGCACCGCGGAGAATCGAACACCGTGCCTTCGGTTCACGGGTGTCAATTTCTCAAAATGAGTGGGGCACACCTGCTGTCGGGTCGTCTGCACACCTGCTGTCGGGTTGTCTGTACACACGCTGTCGGGTCGTCTGTACACCTGCTGTCTGGTCGTCTGTACACCTGCTGTCTGTTCGTCTGTACACCTGCTGTCGGGTCGTCTGTACAACTGCTGTCTGGTCGTCTTTACACCTGCTGTCTGGTCGTCTGTACACCTGCTGTCGGGTCGTCTGTACACCTGCTGTCTGGTCGTCTGTACACCTGCTGTCTGGTCGTCTGTACACCTGCTGTCGGGTCGTCCGTACACCTGCTGTCTGGTCGTCTGTACACCCGCTGTCGGGTCGTCTGGACACCTGCTGTCGGGTCGTCCGTACACACACTGTCGGGTCTTCTGTGTGCCCGCTGTCGATAATCTGCACGTTTGCTGCTAGCGTCGCACCTGATGACCAAGGCGTATTCCACGGTGCTGTAGAAGCAGAACACCATGCAGCCGATCATCCACACATCCATGGCCTTGATGTAGCTAACGCGAGGGCCCGCCTGCCTGAAAACACGCCGCGTAACATGAGTTTTATGGAACCTCCAGTTGTGTTGCCCCTGCTCTGTCAACGAGTGTGAGCTGATGCGATCAGTTCAGGTGTGATATGTGAGCATAACGCATGTCCTTCAGGGCCTCAGGCTTGTGGCGCAGGATGGCTACAAAGTCACGTAGGTTCAGGGAGTGCGAAGGTAAGTTAACGCGCAAAGATGACTGCGTTTTAAATCACGTCTAGTTCCACACGACATGCTCGCAAGACGCTCAGTTAGAAGGACGATCACCACCCGGTTGCTAACGGGTGCACAAAAATGACCTTGATGTCTCCCCGTTGTGAGTGACGGGAGAAAGGCCTGTGCCACTGCCCAGAACAGCCAGAACAGTATTGGGCACAACGGACAACAGCAAAATCTACATATCTCCACTGCAGACGACAGTCATGGAAAACGTCACAACAGCCCATGGCACCGTGTTTCGTCTGTTTGATTGGAAATGGTATGCTGAAAACGCTTGAGGCCTCGCATGTGGGAAAACATGATTTAAAGACCGAGAGCCTTAAAGCATAACTCATTGGAATCCTGGAATACCATTAAGTCCGAATAATGATTGACGCAACTGCTATTAGATAATTCACCGCCACTAATCCTTTGGATATGCATTGCAGCGGGTGGCCGAATTTGACCTTCAATATGTATTATACTTCCCTATTATGTTTTAACACCTGCGTTAACGTCCTCCTACCCGAATTATTTTCTGCCCTGGCTCAACACAACTGCTGCTAATTAGCATGGATTAAAAGGACACATGAATTGTGTACGTTTGCAGATCGAGTGTTTTCCTGCCCTAGCACTTGAAATACGAGGGAATGTCTACTGTTACCATTACGGCTTTAAATCAAAGGCCGCATGCAACGCCAGTGTCCATAATTTATGACAATCGCCAGTCAGAAATGCGGAACAGCGGCTGAAATCCACTTACTGAGCCACACTGCCAGGTACAATTGCTTTCTGATTATGTAAAAGGGCCCCGCTTCTGCACGCTAGTTTAAGTAAAAAGGAATCGTAACAGAATGCATTAGATGACTGGCGCAGAAATTACATAGAGCAGGATGGAAACACTATCAGACAGCGTCGTTAGAACATCTGTATCCATGTATCACAACGGAATATCAAGAAATCATGAATGATCGTTTTATTGAAGGAAATGTTCCAATAGTTGAAGATATAGAAACAAACAATGTGATGTAATAACCTCAGTTATAACCAGTGGTTAACTATTTAGCTATTTTACTGACGTTTTCAGTTAAAAACCCAAACCACTATGGAACAATCTCTTTAACACATGTGGTCCTGTACCTCTCGGCGGCGAACATGGTGGTGACGGCGAGCAGGGTGGTGATACAGAGCACCATGCGGCCAGGCACTGCTGACGCCGGCACCAGGAACGACACGCCGGCCACAGCCACGAGCAGTGCCGACGGCAAGTACGTCTGCAGCAGGTAGAACTGCACCTTGCGCTGCAGATTAAGCCGGAATCCGACCGCCGCGTACGTGCCTGCAACAAGGTCGGACACGGGACGATCAATGCCTCATGTTCGGGAGCAACAACACGACGCTGAGCATGCGTGGCGAGAGGGTGAGTCATGTGTAAACATTTCGTTGTCGTAAGTAAACGGACAAAGCTTTAGTCCCGCCTCGTCCGCTCCATCGTCCGCGTATGGCTTAATATTCATGTCAAAGTCAGCCAACGCCTACTTGACGACGTTGCCTATCATGGCTGACGTACAGATCCATCGAAAATGTTTGATTTTGAACTGGCCGCCGCAGAGAATGAGCTGGAGTATTCGCTTATGTGAGCCAAACGATGGGCCTCGGTCGTAACAAAGAGAGTGAGCTGGAATATCCGTGTCCGCCCATGTGAGCCAAACGGTGGACCGCGGTCATAACATCCGGACATGAGATCATACCGACGGATGTCTTCAGAGGCTTCGCTAACATCAGATGATCTCCCAGATGCCCAAATGAGGCTATGGTAACATCAAGGCTCAACGAAAATGAAGACCTTCACGATATCAAAGGGAGTTTTCTTATTTATATGGGGTTTTGAAATGAAACAGCCGTCTTAAAAATCATTTGTTGCAGATCACAGCCCTGCCCCTCTTAAAACCTAAACCACTCTAGTTGTTCAGTTACACGACCGCGAACATGTGCTGACTATTTTGGGAGACTATTTCAGGGTCAGCCAGGCATCTATGACGCCATAATAACGTCATTCAAACTCTGAAATTTCATAAGCCTTGTGGCGACCATGGCCAAGAGAAATATAAGTGTTACTCGTTCATATCTGGCGTTCGTAAGCACGATTTCCAAACATAATGGCCGTCAATTAACTCTCAATCAATGTCGTGCAGGGTGCGATGACATAGCCAAGCAATGCTATATTGAAGAGCCCAGCCACAAAACGAAGAAATTTTGATGTCTGAAGCATCTTTTCAACTAAAAGTATATCAATAATTGTAAGTGAGCTTATTCATCATATCTGACGCTTGTGTCAATATCTTCAAAGGCAGAACATTGCCTTTATGTGTCAAACCACGCATACTGTCGTTAAGCCTGCAAACGAACTAAGTGCTTAGCTAAGTGAAGTGAGCGCCGTCCAATGTTCGCTTTAAGTAGTGCATTCCCGAGTGTGTGGGCCTTGCTGTGCTCACCACACACACACACGGCGCGTGATTACTCAGTGAGTGTCAAAAGCCAGTGGGCGAGGGCGACCGAGTCGCAGCCTTACAGCAGATTTCGCGCACGGCATAGACAAGAGCAGATTGCAATCACCAAGGGTCCATGGCAAAGGTGGCTTTAGGCCTGGAACATCATGATCATATAACACAGCAACTGGAAAGGCCTGGACATTGCCTCCGCCAAACGCGCCGTACACACGATGAATACGAGCACACATAAAACACTTCAGTGACACCTAGAAAATATTGCACTGTTACGGCTGACGCAAAATGACGGATTATGCGAATCAATATTGGAACGGCTGAACATTGCGACTCTGCCACTACGCAGTTGGCTTGCAGCCCACCGGCGCCGGCTAGAGCGCCAGGCTGCGATGAATGGTGCGTTTGCCGCATATTGTGGTCAAGTTCTGTTGTAATGGCATTGCAATGCACTGGTGGACTTGGGACCACCTGTCGCGAAACATGCCGCGCAACGCACACGGTATTCTACTAGTTCAGTCGCTTGCTCCCTACCGAAATGATTGGTAACAGCAGAGCTGTGGTCAAGGTGGCACCTACTGCGAACGATGTTGGCGCAAAATTTGGTGATGTTTTTGCACTTATAGGATTTAAGCAGAACTGCAGAACACATTTTATTCATTAATTCTAGCGTTTTCGCAGAAAAGGTGTCGGGTGAGACTGAGAGCGATAAGAATGTCTGCGCAATTTGTAGTCGTGAGATCTGTGGTGTCACTTTCTTTAATTGGTAAGGGGGGGGGGGGAACTAAACTGGGACGTCGACCTAGCTTACCCCCGCAACCTAATTCATCCCCGGATTTCGGCCGCCCTAATTTGCATCCTAAATGTAAATATCATTAAAACAAGCATTTGGTCGATTCTAAGATCGTTATGCTATTGAAAGCTTCCGTTTTAGGCCAATGGAAAGATGCATTAAGTGAAGGCTTATGATGGTGCATAATCACAGAAAAAAACGTCTTGGCAAATCGGCTGGCTGTGATCAGAGAAACGATAGTGTTTTTCATTCAATAATGGCGGCCAGAGGCGCAGAAAGGATGGTTTTATGCAGAATGACGTAACCTGGCCGTACATACTACGCACTATAGTAAACATTTCGTGAACACCACCAGGATGTTCTTATATATAAAAGTAAAAGTGGGCTTCCCTAAACCGACACAGAGCTATTCGCTATTGATGATTCCTAACCGACACAGACGACCTCATCGACTGAGGGGTCCAATGGGCGTAAAAGCTCCTCGATTGGCCTTGGAAGGCCCGATACCGCGAGCAGGGCGGCCCCTTACTACAACCTCCTGTCACCCTTTCGGGCCCTCAGGAACACTGCCCCTGGCCGACTCGGGGCTAATGCCAACACAGGACCCCTGTCAGGCACGATCAACAGAGGAGGTGTCTCATTGCCTCATTGGTCCTGACCACCGTAGATCGTGGGCTTCTTCCTTGCCCATACTTGTGAAATGGGCCTCAACACGCGGCCGGGTGACCGGCTAAATACCCTTTGCTCGGGTGGGGGGGGGGGGGGTCAGTTATACCCCCCTCAGGTCTCGGTGTACGTGAACTCACTTAGGTCAAAGTTTGAGATCACTAAGTCAGGACCTTTGGGTCAAATAAGGTCAAACAAGGTCAAATTTCAGGTTGGTCTCCAAAGTGACTCCAGAACCCAGATAACTGCTTCTTAGCAGGTCACAAGCTCATTTAATGTCAGTGACCTTTCTTGACTTTTTGAAGGTCATGGTGACCAAAATCATGCTAGACCGCTCTGAGTTTTGCATTTGAATAAGGGACAAAGATTACGCTCGGCAGTATGTTCTTTAAAAATGTTAACCTAGGTCATCTTAGGTCAATGACCTATTATGACATGTAAGAAGTCAACTGAATTTGTATAATGCGGTTCCTGCTATCAATGAATTCAAAATGAGCACCGGAAAATACCCCATACCGCAAGCCCTACAGCAATAAAACAGGTTGGTTTTTGCCTTAGTCTGACTTTCATACCTGACCTGAGGTCAACTTAATTTGCTCATTCAATGCCTGTGTTGCCTAATAAAGCACCTGAAAGATGTAAAACTTCGTCAAACACTCCGTTGTTGCATCAGATTGAACGATTCCTTAGAAATTGACTTTGCTGAAACCATCGCCTGATTTTGACCTGTCATAGGTTAGTGACCTTACAAGGTACACCTAAATTTATTACACCAAACGATCTGCTATTCAATTGTACATAGCTATGCAAACGTTGGTGCGGCTACACCGCACCATTCGGAAACCATTCTGGAAAAACTTTCGGGGGGGGGGGGGTCCCCACCCGAGCGCGTGTTAAGGCCCAGACCGACAGGAGCCGCTGGTCCGTGGTAGTGGTGCCTGACCGACAAAGACGCCCTCCCCGGCTCAGGTGGGCCCGGTTGGAAATGTCCCTGCGTTTGGTACTGGTAATGTCTGGCCAAGATAGAGGCCCTCATCGACTCAGGGCCCTGTCGGCGCAAAATGCCCTCTGTTAGGCATTTCAGGGTCAGGCCCCGCGGACCGGAGCCTCCTAATACGACCTCCGATCAGCCCTGCGGGCCCTTAAATCGGGCTCTTGATCGTCTTTCGTGCGGGACCGTTCAAAACCCTCGCGAACTGAGGGAAGGGGGCACTGCTCCTTGTGCCCCTCCCCCTGCCTGCGCCACTGGCTCAGAGACTTACATCACAACCGCTCTGATGACTCTCTGGACGGCCCCGAACCGACTCGACGCGATCGAACAGGACGGAGTGTGATTCCCGCAGAACGGGGGTGACGTCACGCACGGCACGGGCCGCATTGAATTGGTTGGAGGAGTATTCCCTTCGAATGCACGTGAGCATAAGACTGCCGTGTTTTGGCTTCTCACTCACCCGGCCTGTCGCCTCTGGGTTTAATGTTGTAGGGTAACCTAAAAACCCCCGTCCACGTGGATAAACCAGCGAGCCTTCAAGAGCTCAAGACCATCTTCTTCAGACTTGAGATGGGAGTCTCATCTTATCATGCCTCATCTCCCACGTGGTGCTTTTGTGTCTATCACTAGAGCTTGCCGTTTTGTCATGTTGTCGTGTGGGTTTTTGTCATTTGAACAGGTAGCCATTTTTCCATGTCGCCATTCATTCAATCAAGCCCCTGAAACAGATCTCCGTTTAACCGTTCATCAATTTGGCAGGTCGAATTTGTTATGTATCGCCATGCTGCAGTTCACCACGTAGCCGTTCAACGTTTCGGCATGTCGGCCTTTTGGAATATGGCCATTTTGCAATTCACCTTTCAGCTGTTTGCCACTCGTCCATGTCACCATTTTGCAGTTCGCCACTGGCCGATTCGACTGCTCCGGCCGGCACGCCAACTTTTTTACACGTCGCCAATGTGGAAGTTGTCAAACAGCAGTCGACAAAAAGGCATTTGACAAAATGCGAGTCGACTTTTTGGCCGGACATCTTCCGAGACCATTGATCTTCTTGGTGGCACCTGAATTACTTGTGCTACATCGCACGGATACCGAACACATCACTCCATCGAGACAGCCCCTAGCACCGTCACTGGTCACGTCCTCAGTAAAACATGACGGGATGTTGGCTCTTCTGAACCTTTCGTAATGTGTCAACGCCGTGCCTCATGACGACCGCGGTCAGACTGTGTAGTATTGATACCGCCTGGTTTGCTGGCTGTTTGGCAGGACACAGGCAACAGGTGCCAGTGCTAGGTGCTGATATTCCACACATTTTGTCTCGGCCGAAGGTGTGAAAAACTTCGCGATATTTCGAAGAGGGAGCCTGGACTGCATATTGTACG